GAGAGGATAAGGACGAAGCGAGGGAAAGGAAATGGCGAGCCCTGGATAGAGGAAGAAGAAGAGGAGTAAGAGAGGAGGGAGAAAGGAATCTCGTATCTGTCTGGCGGTCTCTTCGTTATGCTTATGACAATATACGTAAGATATCTTGGGACGAAAGAAAACATTGTCCGAAGAGTTCCCAAAGGCAGACTTTCTCTCTCTCAAAGTAGCTCCCTTTGTCGGAGATTTTTTAGGCAAAATGAAACAACGGGGTTGAGGTAGGAGGAGAACGGAGAGGCAAAAGGAACGTTTTGACGTCGAATGAGAAATATTGAATGAGGTAGGGGTATTATCCGAATATCGGACTGCAGACATCACCTCTCTCTCTCTTTGCAACATGGCATCTTTCGTGTACATATCTATATATATATATATTTATCTCTGTAAAAAGAATAGATACCAGAGAAAGGTTTTATTTTGCAAAGGAATCTTATCCCAGACTGGTTGGAAAGTATTTGTGAAAGGGACGATCATAACTTCCGTAGCAATTACATAGTATGTGTTCTGTCGTATGATTTTCCTGGGAATACTGTTATCCTTCACACAGATATATCCTTAATTACTTTTGTTTATAATTCCCAATAGTAATGAATATTGAAGTACACAAAAGAAAAAGGAAAAGACAGAAATAAAGATATCTCCATAAAATGAGAGAAGTAGTGGGATATCACGCTCGTAACTATAACTGCCGATAAAGGAGTCGAAGACGAGAAGTGGGGAAAGTTCGAGCGATGAAGTCTCGCGAGAAATGAAATATAGAAAGAGATAGATAAAAAAAGTTTATTGCTGGCGATGCTGCCGTCGCGAATCTGGCTGGTCCGCGTTATGCATCGGCGTTCCTTTACGAGGGCGATTAAAAGTCGCATTAACGGGCCGACCTCAGCGCGATAACCGGCCTCTGTCTCCCCACCCCCCCCTCCTCATAACTTTCATATCCTCTTTTCTTTCCCTCTCTTTCTCTTGAGCTCTCTAGGGAGTGTGTTCTATCTCTTTCTCTTTTTCTTTCTCTTTTTCTTTCTCTCTTACTGGCTACATCATMCCAGCCGTAACTACTAGTCGAGTCTGACTATGAGCGGTATAATGCTCATATATATGTATACACGGATATACGTATGTGTGTTCCACGTAGAAGAAACAAGCATATCCTCGTATTGCGAGGTATTTGCGGGCGAATCGCGGACTGGTGGAAAGGCCCTTCCGTTGTTAACGTGCGATCGTAACCCGCGGGAAATGAGCTAAAGGTACGCTTCCTCGTTATTATTGTTCCCGTTGTCATTGTCATTGTCATAGTCATAGTCGTCCGGTGCTTTCGATCGATTCTTTACGAAAAACCTTCGAAGCCTTAGCCATTCGTTCACCCTTCGAGAGAAAAATGGGGGAAGAAATGGTTTATGCGTATTGCTAATGTAAGATATCCTTCTCGAATTGAAATACAACGAGAAAAACCTGCGTTTCTCATAAATAACAGAATAGAGGAAGGGAAAAGAGAAAGAGAGAGATGACGAATTTAACAAAGAAGAACAAAGAATGAAAACTTGCGTACAGTTACGTGTGAGAGTTAATACGAAAAGAGATTCGTAGGACGTAGGCACGTTTTATGGAGCCATTTTCGTATACAATATAGGACACAAGCGTGGAACTATAAACGATTTCCCATATCCCTCCCCCTTGTGATCCTCGCTCGTATTTTTCATATAACAGGAATAAAGAGATCCGTAATACGATCTCGTCATATCATAAAAGTAACGAATATAGTAGGTACTGTAACGACGTTCTTCGTAAATTCCTCCCGATTGGTCGAAAAAATGGCTAAAGTTACGTTCGAGGATATTTGATTTTCCTCGTTGAACATTGATGAAGTATTCTCATGTGTCGAAAAAAAAAAAGCCTTAGTTTCGTAGATCGACCTGAAAAAAATGTCCACGATATTTTATTTTTTTAAAGAAAGATAAAAAGAACAGTGAAACAAATCGATATATTTATATTAGCTAAGTACAATATTTATAGTATAAGTATAATATTAGTAATTATTAGCCAAATATAATATATTTTATAGAGGATAAAATTATATAAACTTGCATTAATATTTATTACTTTGCAATAATCTATTGGATGAGTTAGATTGTAACATACGAAAAACATTAACCTTATCTAAACTTCCTTTAAACAGTTACGAATTAGTAAATTTGAAGGAGTGAACGTTTTAAGCATATCCCATTCAATGACTTGCACCATACCCGATGTTTCAAAGGGGGAAAAGAGAGAATATAAAAGTGGTTACTAAAAACAAAATTACCGGTTGGTGTACGATTAATCGAGAATTTTTTTTTGGGGGTGGTTAGCAGCTGGTGGGAAAAATATATTCCTCGTGATCGGAACCGTGTTCTATCTCTATCTCTATCTCTCCTTCAATGAACGCGATGGTGGCCCATCGAGGGAGTCCTAGGGTTTGAAAAGGCATGCCTGGCAGGGGTGCGCATCACATCGCCGTACCCGTTACGGGTAATATAGTTGTGTAAACACGAGTGTGTAGTATTAGCACTGTCAGCGGGGCTTCAGCGTTCGAACGCAAGCGAATAAGCGAACGAGCCCTCTTCTGACTTAACAGGGAAATGCATTCTTACCCCCTTTCTCTTTCTCTCTCTTTCTCTCTCATCTACATCGAATACTTTTTTTCTAATCCTTTTATTTATGAACAAGAAAAAAACACGTATTCCGCTTGTTCCACTGTCTTTTATTCAATTTTCATATTTTTAAAACTTGCTATACCATTTCTAGTGCATGTTAATTCTTTTTCAAATAATACATATATATCTAAACGATATCGAAAAAGTGATTAGTAAAAAATTAATATTATTTATTATTAAAAATATAAATATATCATGCATTAAACATTTTAATTTTTATAGATATATCTTATCGGAAAATGAAATTATTTGGAATTTTATTATAAATAGAATTGTTTTCGAAAAAAAAATTATAAATGATAGATTTTTATTCTTGGCGTTAATATTTGCAACATTGGTAAACGAACGTATTTAATTAAAAATATACACAGAATGAACACATCCAAATAGTTTATTTAAAATTATCCAAAAGAAGAATTATCATAAAGATATATACGAATTTTTTGTTAACAAGTCCTCAAAATTAGCGAGCGATTAATGAACACAGATTTTATGATTCTATCGTTGGTAGGTACATACATAAGCAATTTAGTACTAATTCTAGGACTCGTTCGACAACCAACGTAATAATAATATGAATGCAGGAAATACGAGCGAGGATGCAGCATACACTCCTCTTTCTCCCTACTCACATACGTACACATACACACATACATACAGAAAGAAATTCTTCCTCGAGATATTCCTCGAGCGCCTGGAGAACTCGTCCGACCGTGTTTTATTGCGTTCTGTCGTCGGACTTGGAATAGGTCATTGTCCACGTTTCTTACTCGTTACCCGATCTCTTTGCATTATGGTTCGGCCGCGAGATAAGAGAACATTAATCTCGATCACGCTTTTCGAACAATTTCGTATCATCCTATAGAATTATGATTTAATCCCTTTCTACCGACTGGTTTTCAATGAATTTACGTTATGACATTTTTGCCGAACCTTACATATGAAATGTAAAGGGAACTTGACGAAGGGATTGTATTACTATACCGGTAAAAGGAATGAAACATTGATAATATCGAAGGAAAAGGGTCGACCTAGGAAATTCGCTCCGTACCGAGTGAGTAACTCGAAGGGAAACGACAATAAAAATGGATATATATTCATTGTATCGATTATGTTCTCCTTTTTATCGAGAAATAAAGAAAAAAAAAAAAGAAATATGTATTGCATGTGAACAGTATTCTCTATAATTACAAGTAAAAAAAATAATAAGTACGATAGTATATTATATAAGTGTTAATATTAACACATATTTAAAAAGTGAAAAATTAATTGTAACTATTTATTAACAAATTATTTAATAACAAGTGAATAAAAAAGTACAAAAAAAATTGTAAACAAGGGGTAAAAGGTATCCTGTGATTTTTGATATCAATATAATATTTGTTTTTGTTCCAATAGAAAATGCATTGATTCCAATGGATGAAATTCATTTTGTATTAGCCGCTATGCAACTATATCGATCCCATCAATCATTTTTTCGAGATAAAAGCACGTAATAATTGTTGTTTTTATTTAAACTTTAATATTATAGGATGAGAATTTTTCTCTCGTTATTGTTATTGGTGGATGAGACGAGAAACATTTGAAAATCTAATGAAAAGAATGGCAATCGAGTTGTATTCACAAAATATAGATCACGATCAAAATTCATTTTTCAGTTGAAATTTCAATTTATGTTAATCCTCTGTGATAAGAGATTTTTAATTCTTATGTTTTATTTTTTTTTATTTAATTTTAAAATATTCACAAGCGATAAGATATGCCTGCGAAAAAGTAAAACAATAAAACGGAAACTATAATAAATATTTCTTATTCTAGGAGAAATCATTTCGATTAAATATAATATCATATTTTCAACATTTTTTTTATACGAAATCTTATATATATGAAATGTATTTTTTTTATTATTTAAAATATCTCTCAGATTATAATTACAATATATTCATAAAACACCATAAACACAGTCACATAATTATAAATATATACTATGTATTAGATTTAAATTGATTCGCACAAGCACTGAAATTATCAATGCTAACAAAATAAATCTTACAATTAAATATAACGTATCTCATTCGATCTTTAGTTGAAATAAATTAGTGTTATTTCAAAATTTTTGTGTAAAAATTTAATTTCTTTCTGAAAATTCAATAACATTCATATAACTGAGTGAATGAAACAGGCAATATAATATAAAAAAAAGTAAGAAAACTCTATGATTATTCAAATCGTCCGATATAATATGTAGGATTAAAAGCGATTAGTAAGACTCACCACCAATTAGCCCGCGTTCCGTTTTGCCATGCAAAAAGCAGAACGAGTAAGCTGAATATGCTGCTTGATACAAGGCCTCTCATCTTCGTGGATGAAGAAGAAAAACGATTCCAATAATGAAGAAGACGATAAAGTTGATCGTGTTCTCTTCTGCAGAAGAAGAACAAATCCCCCAACACACAGAAACTTCTGACACCGAAGAAAAATCTGTGAGAGAGGGATTCCTGAAGAAAATGATTAAATGCACTAACTGTTTTTTTCTTCAAACTTCTTGCATTATATTATCTCTTTTTCTTTCTCTATTAATCTTTCTTTTTTCCTTTCTATCTATTTCTATTCTTCTCTCTCTTTCTCTTTCTTTTTTTAACGTATCTATCTCCTCTGTTTTCTGTCTATCCACAAAGCTGACTTACTCGTCGAGTATGGGGCGTCTGTTAGTTAAGGGAACGCTTACGAGCCTTTCCGCTCTTACTTTCCGGTCTTTCTCGATAACGTACCCCTTTCCTTCTTCTTCTTACATTTTTCTTTACGCCCCCGACATTGCCGGACACATGGTGCACACACTTTCTCTCACCTATGGGCTTCCTCCTACCCTGTTAATTGGCGTTAGAAAAATACAAAAAAATGCACGGGAGAAAAATGGAAGGATTTAGAAGGATTAAGAAGAGGGTTTAGGTAAAGAAGGAAAAGGTAAAGGGTATGGAATAGGAAATGGAAGAAGGAATAAAAAAGGGGAGGAGAAATATGCGATAGTAAGCAGGAACAAAAGAATAAAGTTTGACGATCGAAGGGGTCGCTTGGAATTCGCTGAACGACAACGACGACGACGATGACGACGACGAGGAAGAGGATGAGAAGGAACACGAAACCTCCGTTCGAAAACGAGAACGCGAGACGACACTCGGTGAACGTTCGCCCACGAACTGTGGCCGGTTAGTCACGAGGAAAAGGGCAACAGCTTGGCGCGGTGCGACGCGAGCTGGTGCTTGGGGAGATGGCAGTAGTGGTGGAACCGGGGCGGGCCGGGGGAGGGCGGACGCGGAGGCGGAGGGCTGGCGGCCGCGCGTGACTGGGCGTGTCTTATCAACTGGCCACGACTCACCGATTGGCTTTACCAACGACGGTGGGGGAATCATCGAATTTCCGTTAATTAGACATTTCGGCGGTGCATCGCGACCGTTTTATACGGTACTTCGGTTTTCTCTTAATGGCTTCACAAACCTATACCTTTTCGAATGAACGAACGGCCTAAATAATTCTCATTTTGTTATATTTTCACACACAATTTGTTCCTTATCAAATTTCAGCACTGATTTAACGTTTATTTCATTACGCTCTTATTCGCTTTTTAACATTTCATTAGATAATTTTTATTTTCCTTATCAATATTTTTTTGTCGAATATAAATTAATTTAAAAAATGGTTGGCAGCGTATAATTATATTGACAATATAATTGGTACATGTGATTCATTTAAATACACATGATTTTTTAGAAATTAATATTTTTCTATTTTTAAACACAATCGATCGTATGTCATGTAACAAATTACGATTTGGAAATGCGTTTTTGGCAATAGAAAACGATATTAATTTAATAATGTTTATTCATACGGAAGTTTTTAACGAAAGAATTGTTATTAATTGGGATTATGAGAGATAATCTGTTTTAACTCAATGAGCAAAAATGAAGTTTTAATATTGAATATATCATAATTAATATTTCTTCAATATTACTTTTTAACATTTTTATTTTGATCAATCATATAAAAGAATATATTTGCAGTTCTCTTTTATCTATCATATTTGTTACGTTTGTATTATAGGAACGATTTCGTAAGAGTTCCATCTACGCTGTTGAAATCACCATTGATGGTACGGAGTGATTTAATCGTAATCTGTCAAATTTCCATCGAATGTTTATATAAATGATTATTTTCCTTTTAGTAACTTTTCGTTAATTTCTATTTTATGATTAAAGTATTTCTGTATATGTACATAGCGTAATAGTCTAACAAAATTAAAACGAGTTCGTGCGATGAAACAACAAAAAGAGAGACGTTTGTTACAATTTATCACATAGACAAATTATATAAATTATATTGTAAAATATATTATTAGAAAAAAAAAAATTCTTTTTAAAAACAACAGATATTATAAAAATTTCATTACCTATAGTTTTAAGTTTTATTTCATTTATTTACGATTAATTTATGATGAATAGAAAAAAGACAAATATAAAAAGCAAAGCTGTTGAATTGTTAATAATATTTTTGTAAAAGAAATTACAAGGATGTTTATTCAAATTGCATTAACCATGATTCAATATGAAATTAATTTTAATAATTGCATAGCAAAGATTAGTGTTCGTTTCTTGTAAAAGTAAAAAATGAGATTGGAGATCTTTGGAAATTTTTTCAAAGTGTTGTAATGTTTAATACCTACGTAATAAAATTTACAAACATTTGTTGCTATTTTAACAAGTTTTTAAGATAACTATTCAAAAAGTAGTAGGAACAACCGACATCTTGTAACAAGTTATTAAAACTATATTTTATTTCGCTTACATAGTAACACTATTTAATACAGTCTAATTCGAAAATATTAAGTGCAGTTTGAGTGCAGTTTGTTCCTTATTTTCAGTTGATAATAAGAAATATAAGATCAATTTAAATCAACGGATACAAAGATTCGATCGGCAACATTAGGGTCTATCTTTTCTACAGTCAACCCCATGTTACCGTCGTAAGTTTTACTAACGTCGATAATATAGTTTTCTCTTACATGGAGAAATTCAAGTTCAGATACCAATATTTTTAGCACAAAAAACTGAGCATAGAACTGCAACAGCAGAAAAAAATAAAAATATTTACCAATTGTTTATATATTATGAACGATTAACCTATTACTTTTCACTACCCTATAGGTTGTTACTTGTTAAAATGAAAGAAACTAATAATCATTATAATGATTATGGTAAGCGGTCTTTGGCTGGGTTTTACTTGCAATGGAATGTTTAGCATATAAAATATGTTAAACATTATGCTGAAAGTAAAACACCATTGCCCGGGTCTAACCACGAGGAGGTAACAGCTTCCGAAGACCCACGAGGGATGTGCATCCTGAAGATGTCCCCATCCGAATTAAATTGAAACCAAAGAAAATGATCACCCCGAGAACGTTTTTTATGAGCTCTACTCTTAGGCCCCACCCTAAGAGTTTCATCTAAAAACCATTAAAATATTAAACGAGAATAGAGAGAAATGTTTGAGTATTAAACACCAATAGAAAACGAGAAGTGCATCTGAATAAATTGCAAGTCCCATCGATGGATTTTATTGAAAACTAACACACTTTAATATAATTTCGATAAATACACATATGGAGATTACAAATTATGAATATTTTCAATATAATAATTTTCCAATCTACCTAAAATATAGTGCAATAAAAATAAGTGTATGTAATTTTGGATTGATCCATGTTAAATAAAGTTAAAATACATTAAAAAAAACTATCATTCATGAGGAATGCTATGAGGAAAACAATAAACAGATTAAAATACTTCAATTAATTTCTATAATAATTTTCTATTACCATTTACTAATACTCACAGACTTTTTCTAGTCCACTTCCTCCTCCTCCTCTTGAACGGAATTTTGCATCGTCTCCATGGTTATTCTTGATAAAGATAACTAGAAAAAAACTAAGACTTTTAAGATAGAACTTTCCGTGATTGTGTGCTGTTCCATGGTACATATAAAAATAATTATGACATACTACCATTTACCATAACTCAGTCCTCTTTTGATACGTTTCTTCTTTCTCTTGAACGGAGTGTTGCATTGTTTCCAGAATTCATCCTGCCAACAAATTATTAAAAATAGGATCGTTTGATTTAGGTGGAGTTTTAGGTAAGGACATGATTCTATCCTTGGAGGTAAGATAGAATCAAGGCTCGCGTGGGCAGGGTTGCATCCCTGAAGTAAACCTTTCTTCTCGCAAAGAAAGAATTTACTCGCTACCCATTGAAAAAAAACTGGAAACGAACCTGAAAAAAGAAAAAAGAAAGATTAGTTTAGATTTGTAAAGATCCAATGAATGTGCATCGAAAGAGTGTTCCTTTTTTAGATCAAAATCCAATACTTACAAATGCATTGGAATTAATCATATCCTAAAACAAAATAAAATGAAAATTAATTCAATATATAATATAATAATTGATTAAATCTTAATACCTAAAAAAATAAAAGAGACATTAAAAAACATTATAAGATAATTAGTTTCTACGAATGAAATGAATAAT